AAATATTAGCCATTTTTCATGGTAGGCGTTAGCAAAGAGGAGATAACCGTTGTTACCTAAGGACAAAAATCGTGTGACACAGTTAATTTCGCTATCATAAAACAATTATATATATATATATATATATATATATATATATATATATATATATATATATATATAATTGCAAATTTAAATATTATTTATTTAGATATTTACCTATCTCTGGTGCAAGTAAATGCGACTTGATATAAATATAATAAAAAGAACTGCTTTCGACATTAAATAACCCAACAATGTGTGTGTGACACGTATAACAGGCGAAAATGTTATCAAAATCAATGCTGCTCCCTTGCATTATTTGCATTATTCGAACTGTTATCCTCATCATCATTGTCATATTCCCAACGTTTCAGCCGTTATAAGCTCTGGCCTTATTCAGGTGATTGGATCTCTGAGAAGAAAGTATTATGATTACTTACATTATTTACATTATTAGGAGTGTTATCCTCATCTTCATTGCAATATTCACAACGTTACGGTCGTTGTAAGCTCCGGACTTCTTCAAATGTTTGGATCTCTGAGATGAGGTATTATGTTTTCTTACATTATTTACATTATTCTGACTGTTTCATCTTCATTGCCATATTCTCAACGTTTCGCCTGTTAAATTCTCCGACGTTCTTCAGGTGAGTGGATCTCTGTGATGAGGTATTATGATTACTTGCATTTATTTACATTATTCGAACTGTTTCATCTTTATTACCATATTCACAACGTTTCGGCCGTTATACACTCCGGCGTTCTCACCATACCCTCAGAGGGTGTCAACGGGCTTCCCCTCTCTCTCTCACAGTGTCATCTCACATCTATCCCCTCAATGGGTGCCAGCAGGCCTCCCCTCCTGCTTCACATGATTACCTCTGCCCAATACTCCTGCTATCATGCAGCCAATGGGCGCTCAGCAGTGGGGTGTGGCTAGACTAGCCTCGGTTTAAAAATCTTGCTCAAAGAAAAAACTTATCTTTTTTTTTCTTTTTTCACTTTTCCTTTTCTTTCTTCTCTTTCGAGGAGAACTCACACCCTAGACCTTCTATCTTTTAATCGAATTACCTGGAATTCGTCAATGAGATTTTCGCCAATTAACAAGTGGGTGGTCAACCAGACGTACCTACTCTCCTGGCGCCAACCACTGATCCGATCAAACAATTTCGCCAATTCAGCCGAATTTCATATGGAAGTCGTCAACGAGATTTTCGCCAATTATCAAGTGGGTGGTCAATTTAGATGTTTCGCATTCTGGCGTTATCTATTCCCGATAAAAATAATTTCGCCACCACAGCTAGTTTTCAACACAAAACAGATGCCTTTTTCAAACGACCTAATGGTTTGGTCTTTTGTTTTTGTAACTTTGTGTGGTCCAAATGAACATTTTGCGACACAGTCAATGTTTATCCATTTAGGATTCTGTCTCTGAGGTTATTTGGCCAACCTGGAATTTCCACCCGCCCCGTAACATAAATCAGATTAATTCCAGTATCTTCCTTTCTCAACAATAAAAATTTTACCACTTTTCCTTGTCAGAAAATTAACACCGCTTAGTGTCGTTTTCGTGATGGCCTCTTATCACCTAATTTTAATTCTCGCCTTTTTTTTCTTCTTTCTTTTTTTTTAGCAAGCCAAATACTGTCACAGAAAGACCAAAGTTTATTTTAATTCTTTTTTTTTTTTTTTTTTCTTTTTAGAACATTCTAAATTTTCATTAAACAATCCTTGTTTCTCTTTGTATCACCGGAACTAGTAAAATAACATAGACAATTTTTAGCACGTTTTTTTTTTGTATGACACACATTAATTTGGAAACTCTTGCAAAAATAGAAATAATTGTCTGATGTAAATGAAACTTGCAAAAACTATTCACAGATGATCGAAATTATTATAAATATGCTTTCTTTTTATTAAAGTCATGGCAGATTTTTTTTTTATATTTATTAAACCATAACTAATTTTATGAAAACTAGAAATTCGATTGAGTCCACTTTAGTGATTAAAATAGTTAAAAGCAAAAAGTATTGAGGAAAGCAAATCATGTATTTTTTTTGTTTGTAATTTGACCACCCCACCTGAAAATCAGCTCTGAATTGTCACATACAAAATTCAATAAAACATATATTATTTAATTTCAAATGCTTTTATTTGCTTTTAGTTGTTTTTTATGAATATGGACGATAAAAAATGAATTTTTAATACAATTATTTATTATTTCTTTAATTATAATAAATTTTTACATTTAAGTTGTTAACATATTATAAAATTAGTTAAAAACCACACCCGCTTTCGTAAGTGTCATTATGCGATAGATCTTTTTTTTTTTTTTTTTTGGCGCGTTGTAAATTGTATCGTTTTGACTAGTCAAAAAATCCGCAGTAATTAAGAAATGTAATTTTGTGTTTATATTCGGGCTGTAATTATAAAGTACGGAAGACCAACCAGAATACAATTAAGTTGCGTTATTTGAGTTAAGCATTGTTCTCCGCTGTTAAAGCCTTTACTTTTATGAAACACGTGTGGAGAAGTTAATTTGATTTTTCAATTTCAACATAGAAGGGTACCTACAAGTATCAGTATAATCTTATGAAATTTATATGATCTTATATTCATATTAATCTCAGTTATGATATTTTTCCATCAATGAAATATCAAAATTAATAATGAAATGAATGGAAATACAAATAACACAGTAAAATGTAATAAATGTACATAAAATTATAGTATTTTATGTACACTTCTGATAAAATTTCATCAGAAAGTTACCTATAAATTAATTAGATACCTTTCTTATGAAACTTAATCTCACTGTTAACAGTCTTATTTTAATTTCTTTTTAATCCATTTTCCATAAAGCATCGTAAACGTAAAGGTGAAATCTAAGTACTAAAAATTAGATGCTGAAAAATAACGTTTCAATTAAAAATAACGAGGGGAATAATTTGTTCACGTAAATGTAAATAACTTCACTTCTCTTCTTCCGTAGAAGGAATTATCCTCACGTAATCCGTCTATATGTCATAGATCACCTGTCAAGTGACGCGAAAGTTTATGACCTTCATTGTTTTATTTTCAAATTACATCTTTTCGGCGCAGAATCTAAGTTAAGCTTGGTTCAAAATATTTTAAATAAACATTATAATTTCTGATTTTCTTAAAATAAGTTTTGAAAAAAATGATAATTGATTTTTAAAAGAATTTCAAACTGAGATTTTCATTTTTTTTATAAAATGGAAAAAAAATGGTTGCCATGATCGATTATCTGCCAATTTTTCTGATAAAAAAAAAAAACAAGATTTTAAACGGAAATTTCGGACGTGCTAGGAACGGTTAGAAAATGTAAAGAAATACCCCAAAAATACTTTCATCTTCCCTCTTAATAACATAAACATTTAGACGATAAAATTTTGTTTTCGTTAATTTTGGCGTCTTTTTCATCATGCTATGTTCTTTTTTTTTTTTAGAGATCTCGTGGAGGTACCTACTGAAAAACAATAAGTCGGAACATAGTTCCACTAGCTAGAACTGCGAGAGAAGAAATTGCTATTATAGAACTCACGGTTACATCTGTATTTCAGCTGTAAGATGATGGGACGTTAGAAGCAATCTAATTAACCTTAGAGGTTCAGGTACTAAAGAGGAAAACAATTATCATGAGGATATTTATAGAAATATCACAGAGGAACTACGTTTCGGCGGTTGGAAAATGATTGATATGTTACTTACGTAATCAGATGAGCTATAGCTTTTAGCGTACCAAATATGATTGAACAAACATATGAATAAATAGTTTAGGCTCCAGTGAATTAAACGTTGTGAAAGAAAATAAAGAACAAATTCGAATAATTCGATGAGTGAAAAATGTAGTTATTTTCTTTTTAAGTTTTCTTATTTTCTTTACAAAAAATGAAAATTAAAAAAAAAATTATTAAATACAAGGCCGGATCAAAAAATATCGGTCCTGTTTCTATGGTAACGAATCTCAAGTAGACAAAGTGGAACTGCTTGGAATAGAGTGATCTTGAACTCTGTCGCGCATGCTGCTTAAATTAGAAAAGTTCTCTTCAAGCAAGCTGCTCATAGCGGTGCGAGGAATGTTGCAACACATCACAGAAGTTCCAGCAGTGGCCATGATTTGTTTTAGGTCACGCATAATATTTCCTGACAATCTGACAGCTACCATATTCTCTAGTACACGACTTTTCCCTCTTTCCAAAAATCAAATCCCACTTGAAAGAAATAAAGTTTTAAAACGTCGACAAAATCTAAGAGAATGCAACGAGGTAGCTCCTCGCTAGCCTCCACAAAAAAAAAGTTCTTCGAATGCTTCCCTCTATGGAAACGATCACGTCTGTGGCTTCTGAAGGGGGCTATTTTGAAGGAGATTAAATACGGAATTAATATGCGTTGTAGTTTTCTTTTATAGTATCATTCTCGATACTTTTTCATTAGACCTCGTACCTTTTCCGAACATAACATTAAATGATGATTCGTTTTAAAGAATTCTTCAGAGAAAAAAAAAATAACAATTCAAAAAACAATCCGATGTTTTAATTACATTTCGCTTAATAACAAATAAATATTTCTTTCTGAGCAAAAGAGAGAGTGAGGGAAAGAAAGAGGGTGTGAGAAAGAGAAGAAGTCTCTACGGGCGGAAATCTAATTGATATGAATAAAATTAATTCCAAAAGAAAGAAAACAAGTTTCAAATAATCATTTTAGTCGATTTTTGTGATCTATATCGTTAGATTCGTGATCACATCTCGACAACTGTTTGCATTTGAAGAAGAAATCTATCTTCTTTGAGATAAAATAAAAAAAGTGACTTCAAGTTTGCATTCGTCTTTTATCTGTGTCTAATCCACTTAATTGATTATCTAATTAGATTTTATTTGATTGGTAAAGAGATAAGTAGTTTCGCATTGATTATTTTTATTGATTTTTCCAGAGCGAACATAGCATACAAGATTTCAGTCAAATATGTTCAAACTTATGTCTATCTATCTATCTATCTATCTATCTATCTGTCACAGTATAATCATACCTATCTATCTATCTATCTATCTATCTATCTATCTATCTATCTATCTATCTTGGTCTCTTCATGTCTATCTGTCTCGCTTGGTCTTTTCATATCTATCTATCTATCTATCTATCTATCTATCTATCTTGGTTTTTCATGTCTATCTGTTTCGCTTGGTCTTTTCATATCTATCTATCTATCTATCTATCTATATATCTATCTATCTATCTATCTTGGTCTCTTCATGTCTATCTGTCTCTCATGGTCTCTATCAATCTATCTATCTATCTATCTATCTATCTATCACAGTTTAATCATATCTATCTGTATATCTATCTTAGTTTCTTCATATATAAATATATCTTCTTTTCATCGCACTCTCTCAGTTTCATACTATCTATCTATGTGACGTCTCTAAACACTGCCTTCCTCGCTCCTCGCTGCTTCGTTCGGGTGTCGCCGCTCCAAACGTGACGTCCGCCTGTTTGCGTCAGTCGTGTTGTCCCGTCCTGTGACGACCAACTGGCTTGGTATCGGTCGCGGCACCCAAATGTGACGTTCTAACCTTTTGGTGATTCGGATGGGAATCTGGTTAGATTCGATATCAGCCTCGTCGTTCCCAACTCGCTTCCAACGTCTGGTTACCAAAGTAACTGCGTTGATCTCCAGTCTGCCTACCCACGTTGTGAATTGATCTTAGGCAGACGAAATCAATCAGTAGTTGGGGCCGTAATTCAGATCGAGTTCAACGAGGGCGACACCGCACAAATATGCATAAAATAAAATAAAATGATAACTCAAAAGTTCAAGGTATCAAAAAAAGGATAACAAACTTTATGTCTAGTTGCTGGATACATAGGACTGCGTCTATCTCCCGACCCGTTATATGGATTGTGACACGTTGTTATTTGTTAGGCGAGTTTTAACATTTTAAGTTGTCTGTTCTTCAAGAAATTGGTTCTTGGTGTGTCTTCAGGCGAAAGTCGAAAAACTTATCTTGGTGGTCTGGATCTAAGTCGATCTTCAAAATAATTGTTCTTGGATTGAAGATGAGTCCGTCGTCTGCGCCGAATCTTAGTCAGCTGTGAGGCCTGCTTCAACTGAGCACTAATGGATTGAACAAAGTTCTGGAACTCTCTGAACTGTCTCTCTTCTGGAACTGATTTTTGCTCGCTGCGACTGCGTCTATCTGGACGCCGACCATGGTTGGGTGGGTTTTTCGGCGTCGGAGAGTTTCGATAATTCTAAATACATATCCTCTTCTTTTATTTTTGGTTAGGAATTTTCCACTTCTTTCCATTTTTGGGAGTCTTCTCTTACTCCCACCTTCTCACCATACTTCAGAGGGGCGTCAACTTCCCTCCCCACTTCTTCGTAGCAACCTCTCATACCCATCCTCTAGATGGGCGGCGACAGCTTCCCTCCTTGCGTCACGTGATCACCACTCGGCCAATGATGTCCAGCCGGGCGTGTACGGTCCAGCGGGCTTTGTTTTAGGAAAAAAAAATATATCTTGTTCCAAAAAAAATAATTATCTTTTTCTTTTCCTTTTCTTTCCTTAATCGCAGCTCTCTTCTTCTCTGGTCGCCAACAGAACAATGCGACTAGTAGTGTCATAAATTCTATTCTTCATCTGGTCCTCGTCAGTCAGATTTTCGTTAATTATCAGAATGGGTGGTCAGAAAAACATCGTCCTCTCGAAAAAAAAACAGCTCCATTATTCTAGCGTTTACATTTTGGTGCAAATTTCTGATAACATAGTTCTGTTATCGCAGCCAAAGATGTCTTGTCAAAAAAAAAAAAGGTCAGCCGTTACTTCGTGTGCGGCTTGGCAGACGACACAGTTAATGTTTCATATCTATCCAAAGCCCTGTATTTCACCTGCTCTTTGTCAATTATCAAAATAACATTTTCAGTTGGAGTTTTCTTGGCTAGTCGGTCTGTGGTTTGCTAATTAGATGTTTTGCCCGCATTAAGCAGTTGTTATCTATCCCCGATAACACAAGTTCGTCGCCAGAACACAGTCGATTCCCTTATCCACTTAGAATTTTTCTGCCATTGTAATGACACTTTTAGCCAGTTGCTACTTATCAAAATAACATTGTCAATTGTCTCTGGTCGTGGGTGGTTCATTCTATCATCTACGTTTAAGTCTCGCCTCTCCTTTTCCTTTCTTTCCTTTATCTTTTTCCTTTCTTTTCTTTTTTTGCCCCGGTAAATGGTGCCACATCTATCTATCTATCTATCTATCTATCTATCACAGTATAATCATATCTATCTATCTATCTATCTATCTATCTATCTATCTGTTTCATCATTATGAATTTATCTATCTAGCTAAGTTTCATCGTATCTATCTATCTATCTATCTATCTATCTATCTATCTATCTATCACAGTTTATCATATCTATCTGTATATCTATCTTAGTTTCTTCATATATAAATATATCTCCTTTTCATCGCACTCTCTCAGTTTCATACTATCTATCTATCTATCTATCTATCTATCTATCTAATTTGTATGTACCTGGTTATGCATATAAGAGTGCTCTACTTTAATTACTTGCAAAACAGCATTTAAAAACAGATAAAAATAACATGTTTTATCCATTAACAGTCTGTTTCACGCAATATAATTCACAAATGATTGGCGTCTGTTTCGCTTTTGATGCACCTGAGGACTACAGTCCTTTTTTTTTCAATGTGTCAGAAATATATCTATATATATATATATATATATATATATATATATATATATATATATATATATATATATATATCTGTCTGTCTTTCGCAGTCTAATCATATCTATTTATCTATATATCTAAGTTTCTTCATATATAAAATATCTCTCTCAGTTTTCACACACTATGTTAGTTCTTTCATATCTATCTATCTATCTATCTGTCTGTCTCTCACAGTCTAATCATATCAATCTATCTATCTATCTAAGTTTCTTCATATATAAAATATATATATCTCAGTTTCATCACACCATGTTAGTCCTTTCATATCTATCTATCTATCTATCTTTTTTTTTTTCATAACTATGTTAGTCCTTTCATGCTTTCATATGAGTGGTGTGAAACTGACTGTCACCATACATTGTTGATACCTATATCCATACACGTTAGTCCTATCTATCTATCTATCTATCTATCTATCTATCTATCTATCACAGAGTTTTTATATCTATCTATCTATCTATCTATCTATCTATCTATCTATCTATCTATCTATTATAATGCTATATCTATCTGTTTATATATATATATATATATATATATATATATATATATTAGTCTATCACACTCAGTCAACTCATATCTATTTATCTATCTACCAATAAATGTATTCTCCCTGCAGTGATTCAACCTGTAGAGTGAGGAAATCATAACAGAATTAAAAGTCCTGTTGTGGCGGCAACAATCTTAATGGCCTAAGATCTGCAGATAACACTGTATTGATATCAGACGCAGATAGGAAACTACATCAACTCCTACAGAATTTAGTAAATGAGAGAGTGAAGAAAGGACTCAACATTAATTCGATGAAGGCTTGTCAGCAAAATAAACAGATCAACAATAAAGCAAATAATAAATAAAAAAAAAAAAAACTTTAAATATGACAGCAAAATCTGAAATAGTGAAAGATGCCTTCCAGAATTTAAGTGGTGTAATGGATAGCGGCTTGGATTGAGGAATCGGAGAGCTGAGTTCGAATTCCAGTCGAATCCATTATATTCACTTACGTGCTAATACCCTTGGGATATGGTATGAATCCTCTTCTTCTTCACTCCAGTTATGGATAAATAGACCGGGTCCTATGGCCTTGGATGACAACTGGTGTACCGCAGAAAGAAATGGCAACCTACTGCAGGAAAAAAATCTACCTCGTCTGTCATGTATTTTTCGATACATGATCGCCTAAGCGTGTATCACGGATGAAAGCACGGTGGTGTAATGGATAGTGGCTCGGATTGAGGAATCGGAGAGCCGAGTTCGAATTCCAGTCGATTTGGTTTATTTTGTTTTATGGCATATCAAACTCAATGGGTTATTTAATGCCGTCAATTTTTTTAATTGCTGGTAAGATTTTGTTTTGTCAAAAATCTGTTTCTGGTAATATTTTTTCCTTCAAAACTGTATTGCTGGTAATAATTTTTTTCAAAAAAGTATTGCTGGTAATAGTTAACTATTTGCCCATAGCTGGAACCCTAACAGGTGCTACCAACCCGGGTCAGGGTTGAACTGGGGACACCAGAAATTAAGAGGTGGTTCCACGCTCCTCAAAACCTCCTGATCAGCGGCCTTGCTGTTGGACGTAGTTTAACGCCTTACCCAGGACGGAATTCTAGTCGAATGACTTGTAACATTTAATACCTAAAAGCTAAGCTAGTAACATTTCGTTATCACTGAACAAACCTTGAATTCTCTCCTGTCATAATGAACGTTTTCACTCTCAATGCGGTATCTTAATTTAGACGACATTTTGGTCTCAGGTTCACCCTTGACCTCAAGTGGAACTGATAAATAAAATTAAACGTCAAAGATGTTGAAACAAATGCTTGGTTCTTATAACAATCAAGAAAATATATGACTCCCCCTCCATTCACATATGAGTGGTGTGAAACTGACTGTCACCATACATTGTTGATTCCTATATCCATACACAATCTATCTATCTATCTATCTATCTATTTATCTATCTATCTCACTGTGATCTTGATCTCTCTATCTCCGTCTGCACTTCTTCTATCTATCAGAAGAGGTGTGGGAGGAGTAATATATAGCGTCTCGGATTGAGGAATCAGAGAGCCGAGTTCGAATTCCAGTCGAATCCATTACATTCACTGACGTGCTAATAACCTTGGGAAAGGTAGGAATCCTCTTCTTCTCACCCCCCATCTATGGGTAAATAGGAGGATAGACTGGGATTTATAGCCTTCAATGGCAACTAGTCTACCGCAGAAAAAAATAGCAATCTACTGCGGGGAAAAATCTGCCTCGTCAGTCATGCATCGACAGATACGTGTATGAAGCATAGCACATAAATGACTGATTGAATGTATTAAGAAACAGAAAAAATCTAATAGAAACAACGAAAACAAAAACGAAGCAATTGCGTAATATTTGCTCTGTCCTTCTCTATGGCACAGAATGCTGTACAATCTCTTCACAGATGAAGAACAGTACAACAGATATGTGAGATTTTACCCATAACTAATGAGAGAAATGACTGATTAATTTTCCAAAATGCAATTGAAAGTCTTGAGTAAACATGTTTTAATTAAACACATCAGAATTCTTCCACATGGTCTACACTGGTTGCATTCAACACATCAGGACTATGCTTTTTTCTTCTTTTTTTTTTTTTACAAGACACACACTTCCGGTTTCAATAAACTTCCTATGTAAGACCCGGATGCTTGACTTGCTGATTAAGTTCTGAAAATCAATAAACCTTTGTTCAGCCGTAAATTCAACCCTCAGGCACTTCTTCAGTTTTTATGTTCCGCCTAATTGCAGTACGTGGGTGATCATGGTTCTCCACAATCTCCTCTCTTTACACATGATCTTTAAATATGTTATTTGATGCTTCCCTACTTTATTCTGGACTTCAATTTGTTCTGGGAGAGTCAAGTTCTGTTATAGTGGAAAACACCTATTCTATAGTTAATAGATTCTCCCACCTATAATAAGTAGGAGTAGTAGTAGCAATCGGCAGTGAGTTGGTTAGTCAGTCGACTGGCTGATCGGTTGAAATCTCTGCCTTCGGGCAGGGAGGAACCCGAAAGAGGCTACGCCGAAGGGTGGATTCTCTTTCGGGGAGGTAAACCGACCATGAAACCGTTAATCCGGGTTCAAAGGGCATATTTTTGGCCGAGGCCACGGGCTCGGAGATCCCACGTTAAACCGGCCTTGTGCCACTAGATGCCATCGTGCGGGGGTGACTAAATATCGAGTTGGTCAGTCAGTCGATGTCGGACGACCGTTAGTCGGATATTAAAGTATCAGCGACCACAACTAGATTTCTCTGCGTCATTACCTATTATATCAAGTTCCTAACGTTTTGTACGTCGAACCTATTTTAGGACCAACTTAGTAAAAAATACAAGCCTCCACTGTGAAACCACTACATAGCAAGTTCTTCAAACTTTCTCTTACGTGCCCTTGTAATTTCAGCCCTATTTCTAATTTCAAGTATAAGGGTCCGTTTTGTTTCGATTGCCCTTAACACTTCATCGATACCCCCATGTTCAGTCTGTAATATTCTCCATATTTGATTGTAGAACACCGTTTCCCTTACCTTAACGCTTTTCTCCATCTCTAAGAAAATTGTCCAGAATCCAGTGACTGATAGGAGGACTGATATTACATAGAAGGTAAGAACTCCTTTCTTTGTTGTTTCTAATGAATTTTCCCCCGTTTTCTAATATTTTGCTTAGCTTTTGGAAAGTATCTTTCATTATTGAAATATGTTTTCGGATTTCGGTGTCACATTCCGCCTCTGTTAAAATATGTAGTATCCATAAATTATCTGTAAAATTTTAAAAATTCATAGTTTTAAAAAAAAAATGATTATAATTCTAAAAGGTTTATTGGAAAACATTGGTAAACAAAGTTTTAATTAAATACGTCAGAATACCTCCACATCGGGACTGTGCCTTTTTTCTACAAGACACAGACTTCCGATTTCAATAAAATCCCTATGTAAGACATGGATGCTTGATTGCCAGAACAAATATATTGGTGAAACCTCACGAATTTTAAATAAAAGATTATAAGACCACAAATGTGACATTTAAAAAAAAAAAACAACACATTATACGCATTAGACAGTTGCTCACTGTGACATAAAAAATGTTACTTTAATCAAATGAGAAAATAATTTACTAAAACGAAAATGTCTAGCAAATGATTTAATCGTAAGTTCATCCACGGTAAATTTGCGTCCATGTTATTACAACGGTTCCCTAGACAGATCTTCTGTTATCACAATGTGGGATATTTAATAACAAAGATAATGGAAACAAAAAGAAAAAGAATGTAAATGATTTTGTACACTATTTACATTATTCGGTCTATTGTCCTCATCTTTGTCGCCATATTTATTACAACGTTTCGGCCTTTCAGTATCTGTCTATATTTCTGAGATGAGGTATGATGTACATTATTTACATTATTCGGACTATTGTCCTCATCTTTGTCGCCATATTTATTACAACGTTTCGGCCCTTAAATATCTGTCTATATTTCTGAGATGAGGTATTATGTACACTATTTACATTATTCGGACTATTGTCCTCATCTTTGTCGCCATATTTATTACAACGTTTCGGCCTTTCAGTATCTGTCTATATTTCTGAGACGAGGTATGATGTACACTAGTTACATTATTCGGGCTATTGTCCTCATCTTTGTCGCCATATTTATTACAACGTTTCGGCCTTTCAGTATCTGTCTATATTTCTGAGATGAGGTATTATGTACACTATTTACATAGTTCGGACTATTGTCCTCATCTTTGTCGCCATTTTTATTACAACGTTTCGGCCTTTCAGTATCTGTCTAGAAGTACATTTCGGCCTTTCAGTATCTATCTAGAAGTACATTATTTACATCATTCGGACTATTGTTTTCATCTTTGTCACCATATTTATTACAACATTTCGGCCCTATTCAGGTGGTTGGAATGTCGAACTGAAACTTTAAACTTAAATTTCTCTAATTGAACGGCAAAAATTCCCAGTAATGAAAGTCCCGGTAGAAAACTGGTTATACTGTTAATACTGTATATAAATTGAAATTTTAATAATATTTCTTTAACATACAAAGAAGTGCATTGATGGATTTTAACTCTAATCAATAACATAAACTGTGCAGTTAATTTATTTGCACCCTCTACTTCCCACGTAAATACTTAGGTATATCGAAGCCAGTTCACTGAGTCGAACTTAACCGAATGTCTCCAGGTTGGTGCATTTGTACAAGAACACTTAGCTAAGCCTCATCAGTATCGAACTGCGTGTCTGATTGAAGTAGAATGCTTTTTGATACGGTGCGACAAAATAGATTTTCCTTTTGAGTGTAATTCGATCAATTCTGGGATGGTCACACCAAAGAGAAGTACTCAACCGATCGCATAATAATAATTTCCTATTTATATTTAAATACATGCCATTGATTACACATGATGAAATGACGTCAGGCCTTTCTGGATTTGGTTGAAAATAGATTTGGACAGGAGTCGAGGCAA